GACTGTAATTATATTTATTTACGTATTAGTAAACATTAAAAAAAGTTAATATATTGGAAATTCACATTAATACAAATTTATTAATATTTTATACAATATTTTTATTATATATATTATTAGAAAATCGTATTCAAAGTAAGATGTATGAATAGTGCAGAAATTCTAATGTTGCAACTTTTATGAAACGGAGGAAGTATGAGACAGTAAATTAAGCTTTGATCAGAGAGTGGAGAGACAATGGAGGTCAGGGGCGGAGTCAGGGCACTTGGTCGGACTGGTCAGTTCAAAGAATATTTTTTAAATTTGGAATGTATCAGGACCTTAGTTGACCCCCTCTAGCTCTGCCCTTGAGTGGGGTTCCAGCCCAAGCTTTTGCCTAAAATTGAACTCGAGAGCTCTTGCTCTTGTGGCACTCTCTTCTCGTCAGTTGAGACAATTTTTAGATAAATTATCTCAGACCATATACAACTGCATGAAAAGTGTACAAAAAAGCATACAAATGACATTAATTAGTGGTTGCTCAAAAACCGAATTAGAATAGTTTCACTTAGACCAAAATTCTATGATGATTTAATTTAACTGTATGGTCTAGTTTGTTTAGATCTAGTGTGGCCCGATTTTGTTATATACTCAAACTAGTCCAATTGAAAACATCTTTATTGAATAAATAATATCTCCTATAAATTTCACTTGTAGTTTATAAGTATTTTCATTTTCTTTTTTCACTTTTAATCGAACAACTTATATTGAAATTCTTAAACATTTCAATTTAGTTCACAGTAACCTATGAATTCATTTACATGCAAAAAAACACAACCATTTTTAAACTCATAGTCATGTATGTGAACTTTTTGGTATCTTGCGTGTCACATGTCAGATAAAGGATAGTTTTGCATTAGGCGCATGACACACAAAACTTTAACTTAGTCACATTACATAGCTTGAATCGGAATATGAATGTCACCACATTTAGGTCATCACCTAGTGATGTATAGAAGTGAAGCCAATAGAACTCAAACTGACTACTTCTTAATAGAGACTACTTGAAGAACCAGCTTCATAGATTGTATGGTTAGCCCTAGTGAGAGTGTTTTCACTCAACATATGAATGATTGTGCTTGATTTTCGAGATTAGAATCATAAAAGGCGGGTTAGGCAACAAGTGGAACTAAAGATAAGTGGTGGAGAGTCGATGGAGATTCATGTTTGGTGAAGATATATGAAAATTGATAATATCATTCAAATGTGGAGGATGTGTACGTGGTTACATATCAATGGAGCAGTCAATTAATAAACTGGGAAATAAGATACTTAGGGAATTTAAAGTATATTGCATGCCAGAAAAAGGGCACATCTTAGCGGAATAAGGAGGCGGAACAAGCCATATGAAAAAATAGAATGCATTTTATTTATTTATTTTGTGAAATGTGGATTGATGAGAACACATGAGGCTAAAAGAAAATCTAAGAGAGTCGTTAAGAAAACCAGAAGGAAAGTGAACAGGAACTTGCATATAAAATTAGAGTCTAAAAAAGGAGAAAGATATTTATAGACTTTCAAATCTCGTCTTCGAGATCATAGGACTCCAAATATCAAAAAAGTTAAATGTGTGAAGATGCCAAACAAAAGGTTTTAATAGAGGATGAGTAAATAAAAGAGAGGTGCAGGGGTCGTACATTGAAACATTGTTCATGGGAATAAAGCTCAAGATATTATTGTTCTTACTATACCGGATTGTATGGTAAGTAGTGATTCTATAAGAAGGATCCAAATGACAAAAGTTATAAAGGTTCTAAGAAAGATGAGTAGAAGAAATTTGTGGGTTCAAATGACATATTGATCGTGGTGTGGATACGTTTGGAAAGAGAGGTATATGAAATGGTTAACATGTTTTTTGAACAAGATTAGAAGAAACAACAATGTCCCAGCAAGATGACCGAAGAGTACTCATATTCAATAAGGGTGATGTACAACAAAATCCTTTATCGAGGGATTAAGCTTATCATTCACATGATAACAGTTTGGGGAAGGGTAATTGAGCAAAACCTTCAAAGAAGGTTCAAGATTTCTCAGAACCAAACCGGTTTTACGCCAGCTCGTCCAATAAACAAAGTTGTTCTCCTTCTTAGGCAACTCTTGGAGAATTATAAAGATGTGAACATAAACCTACATTAAACCCTAGATTATCTTAATATGATATTCACATTAATTATTCGTCGACATAAAAAATATAAGATTGTTAAGAAATTACTTTAGTACTATTTTCCTGAATTTATGTTTACAAATTACATGGCTGATTATGATCTTGTTGAGTCTTGCCCGTTAATTCTAACATGTATTTCTAACACGAATTCAAATCAAACTCTAATATTAGTACTTCTTTAACCCTTTCCAAATACATTCAAAAACATGCTCTCTTCATATATACAACATAATCCGAACTAATTCTTTTCAAACAATGAAGAGTGCTTCAGTTAACAAAAGTCTCATGAACACTGATTTTGTCTGGCAACATCATTTTTTATCCGTTTTATTCTCTTAGCAAGTTACACATAATCCTTATTTGTTATTTAATTATCATATAATTCGTTGTAAAAATTAATACTCATTGTTAAATTTTAATTTTGCTTGTCTAAGTTAAGTTTGTTGCCTTCTAAAATTCAAGCGAGGGCACATCTAGTGATTGTGACATCCTCCTAGCTAGAGGTTAATTAGCTGACTAGTTGAAACTCTCCAAAATAGTTGTTCTTTCCTTGAATATTTTTGGTCTTTACTTTTGAAAGAATTGCAAAAATATCACTTTTGAGCTTTAGATGGACAAAAATATAACTCTTTTTAATCTGGACAAAAGTGACCATTTTTAAAACAAAAAAGCTATCTCTTCTGTCGACTCCAAAGCCCATCAAATCGAACGAAGCCTTCATCTGAAACTTCCGTCCATCGCCTTTCATCTTCTCTCATTGCCTCTCATCTTCGCACATCACCTCTCATCTTCGAATTATGTTGCCCCCGCCTTTCGTCCGCCATCTTCCTCTCGCGCCACCGCTGCAAGTCCTCTCTGTTGCGCCACCATCTTCAGCCATCCTTCTTTTTCTTCTATTTGTATCTATGTGCAGGAATGACGTGATTCCCAATGACTGAGCGCATATGGGGCAATTCCGATTACAAAGGGCTAAATCCAAGCTTTGAGGGTTGTGAATCCGATGGGCGACCATCGAGGGAGGTGATCGACCACTGTCGGTTCAAGATCCGCCAGTCTTTGTGGATGACGGCTCAGGTTTGGGGCAGCGGGTCCCGGATCCACCATCCTTAAAGTTAGAGAGGGACCTGAGGGACCGATAGGGGGCAGGGGAGGGGAGGGTGTTGGGAACAGGGGCTGGGTGGGGATTTGGTGCGTAGGGCTAGGGGCGGGGAGTGGGGGCTGGGTAGCGGTCTGGTGCGTAGAGCTAGGGGAGAGGAGGGGGACGGAGACTGTAGTAGGTGACTAGGGGCAGGGGAGGGGCTGGGATGGGGTAGGGGTGGCGGTTGTGGACAGGACATGAGCGATGGTGGTAAGTGAGCAGCGGCTGGGGACGGGGTGACAATGGCAGGCCGTAGTGTTGTTATTGGCAGTGGGGCGTCAAAACAATTTCCGGTAGTTACACTTATGAGGGTGGCGGCGGCCAGAGTATTTTTCGGTGGGCGGCGTCACTGAAAAATCCGACGTCATTATGGCGGCGTCACTCTGGACGGCGGCGGTTATCGGTCGGGGGTAGTGGTGAGTATCAATGTATTCGTGTCACTGTGGCCAGAATTTGGGGTAGAGGTGTCACTGTGGCCGCCAGCGGTGGCGGCGATGGCGGCGATAGTGACATGGAAGTGGTGCAGTGACATGTGTTAGGTCCCTGTTTCTATGTTATTGATATATAAAAATGGAGCTCAAATAGGTGAAGTGAAGCCTTCCATTGATGAGCAAGAGGTTTATGAAAGGATGAAGAAACTTTAGCGTAAAACCTTCGTAGGTGAAATATGCTCTGCCCAGGTGCAGAATTTCAGGGAAAGGCTTACCTACTCCATTCCCTACAGGCATATTTTTAGCCTTTGGGAATGGGTAGGTTTACAATGATTGGGCTCTAACATTTAGGAGACCCATATCCCCTTTTAGCACACTTTGCTCATTTAAGCTATTCTAGCTATTCTACCTATTATTTAATACAACAAGAGGCATATAAAAATAACATTGATCACAATATAAAAATATCTCTAACATTCTCCCCCTTTGTGATCAGATGTCCATTGTCAGCTCTTATTCAAAACATTGAGAGGCGGGGGGAAGAGGGGGAAGAGGTTTGAGATCCTATGCCGAATTGAGAGGAGTTCGTTAACAAAGAGATCTCATTTAAAAGTTGATTTCTTTCAAGTTCAAAAGCCTGTTTTTCTTTATCAAAAGATTCTATCAACTCAACAAACTTTTTCACGAGTGGTGGAATGTATGCTGGTTTCACTACAAGTTCAGAAGTTGATGGTTCCTCTCTATCTTGCACAGTCTCTTTATCGGGTGGATAATTGAGAATCTCTTCTACAGAAGTCAATAGGATCTCTCTATTTTGTAACTCTTGTTCAAGTTTGTATAGTCAAAAGGAATCTCATGTCTAGACTTGGTCTTTCTCTTGTCATCCTCGAGGGCATTCGATTTTTCAGCACCAGTGAAGGCCATAAGTTTGGTCAACCCTAATCCTAGGGGTGGGCGAATCGGTTTACGGTACGGTTTTTATCGGTTTCGGTTCGGTTTATTCGATTTGAGAAAAACAGTACCAAACTCAAAACAAAAGAATTTCGGTTTGGTTTCAGTTTGGTTTGGGAAAAATTCAGTTCGGTTCAGTGTTCGGTTTGATGTTTGGTTTATAAACTTGAAAATGATTATGTGTTGTTACATATTTTACAGTCCACTTTGAGTAATTTTGAATGTCATGTTTTCATTGAAATTCCAACTATATGAAATAAAATAAGTACACACTACATATAAGTTAAATTGAATTGTTCATTTTGTTCCCACAAAACCCAAATGAACGTTAATCCAAGAGCGGGTAAAAAGCGGTGGGCAGGTGCATGTTGATATACTCAGCGAGTCTTGGTCTTTATCTGGTCTTGTGAATGAACTGCAGAAGTAATTTTCTTCCAACAACGGACAATAATGATTGTGGGTATCCAGACCCAGAAGGAATTTGCAAACACATAGTACTAGAAGTAATGATACGGGCTTGCATCAAAATTGTCACCCTCCAAGATTGCTGTTATGAAATACACAACTGTACCATAGAGCTGACCCAAAGAAATGGACACCTGGAGTATATACATGTATGTCTTCCTTGTAGATATTGCATACACAGCAAGAAGACATGTTGGTCCCTCTAACACTGCTGTGATTCCTTCAACAGAAACAAAAGTAGAATCGCGTGCAACATACCTAGAGTCACCCTTGGTGTACTCTTTCCAAACTTTTGCCAAGTAGATGGGAGTTTTTTTCTTGTAGAAGTCCGGAGAAAAGACAAAGTAACCCTCAAGGAACATGTGAGTAAGGCCTGTGAAACTCCACAAGCACATGAGCATCGTGTCTCCCTTTGAGAACCTAGCTACACAAACATAATAATGCTTCAACTGAAAACAAAAATTGCAAGTGTACATACTACATAGCTGTAACATACTGCATGGAGTAAGCATTAGTTTACAAGAGCCAAAGAAAGTTCATAGCTTAAACATACATACTGCGTGCACCTGCTAAACCAAAGAAAGTTTGACACACTAGCTTACAAGATCCACTGGCATCTCACAATTCAAGGAGAATTAAAAAAAATCAAAAAGTCTCCAAATCTGCATACCAAAACCAACACCAACACTAACTGCCTGCATCCGTACTAACTGCCTTCAGCCATACCTGCAAAGAAAACATGGCATTAAAGGAAAAAAGAATGTCAAACATTGGATGTCTTAATTCTTAACACTTGATTAAAATTTAAAAGCAGCATTAGAAAGAAATCTGGAAGCATTATGAAAGCAAGTACTATGTCATACCTGGAAAAATGAAACTTCAGTATTCTTTACCAAGCACAGATATCAAATATCACCTTGTTGCTCGCTTAATTTACGGAGCTCTAAAACAATTCAATTGAAGCATGGCATACCTAGTTAAATGAATTTTAAAAAACATTATAATGAATTTAAAATAATTAAAACTTAAAATACCTTCAGCCATTGAATTCATAAACTTTGTTTCCTCTACTATTTGGTGAAGGCTCGCTTTTGCATCGTAATCAAATGATGAACGTAACCAGTCTTGTGTCAAAGTCAGCGCCTTAAGCATATGTGGAGTTAGACAACTCCTATATGGATCTAAAGCACGACCTCATGTGCTAAAGGCAGATTCAGATGCAACCATTGAAACAGGAATTGCAAGAATATCTCTTGTCATTTCAGCCAAAACTGGAAATTTCACACTATTTCCCCTCCACCATGATGTGATATCGAAATGCATTCCCAATCTATTGTGTGATGGCATCTCAACTTTTTCCACCAAATATACATCTAATTAAGTAGATGTTTCTTCCAAACTTCCCTTTTCACTAACCATTTGAGAATATTCAGAAAACAAATTTTCAAATCCATCATCGCCATCCAAATTCAAGAAATCATGTGAATTACTCTCACTTAAGGAACAAGATTGATTGACACTTCCGCTTTCACTTTCACATGCAAGTGCATTACACTTTTTACAATGTGATGCACTATATTCTTCATACAACCTACGTAGCACTTCTATGACCGCTTCTTTCATTTGAATACACTTCACACTATCTTTACCATGTAATTTTTCCAAACAAATGGTCGAAAAAGTCATTTTACTTCTTGGGTCAAACACACTCGCAATAATGAGTAGTTTGTTAATCGCCACACCCTCCCAATATTTCAAACTTGCTTTTCATATCACTGGCAGCCTTACTGAAGTTGGGTTCAGAGTTGCTGATTATTGATTTTAGATTCATTCAAGTGAGCATATCTCATTATAGCAACTACTAGCCGTCACACTTTTAGATGCGGAAAAAACTAAAGTTGAATCATAGATGATCTTTAAAAATCTTACCAATCGCCGAACATTCTCCCAATCACTGAGTTTTGGCGGTCCAACTCTTTTTTGACCCATTTCGTCTACTAAAAAGTAACCATCATACAACTTATCTTCAGTGGCCATTTTATCAAAAGTTGCCCTATGCTTAAGTGCTGCAGTCAACATGAGGCAAGTATAATTCCACCTAGTGTTGTTGTCCAAAATCAAACTCCCTCTAGTCACCTTATCAAGGTCAGAACGTTTTTGAAAAGTTTGAAATCTAGCATTAGATGACTTGACATACTTCACTGCGTTACAGACACTAACAACACTATCGCTTATATCGGCCAAACCATCTCTCACAATAAAATTCAACATATGTGCACAACAACGCACATACATGAACTCACTGTCAAAAAGTAAAGGATCATCTCTCCAAGAACCTAGGTTACTTTTCAAGATCCCAATTGCGCTATCATTGGCAGTGGCATTGTCTACTGTAACAGTGAACACCTTCTTAATACCCCAATCAATCAAGCAACTCTCTATTTGTTTAGCTATTGTCTCTCCTTTATGATCACAAACTAGCTTGAAACTAATAATTCTCCTATGCAACTGGAAATTCACATCAATAAAGTGTGTAGTGATGACCATATAACCAACAGTGGTAGTGTTAGCTGTCCATAGGGTTGGACTCGGGCCGGGCCAACCGGACCAGCCCGCTACTGTGCGGGCCCAGACCGGCCCGGTGAACCGGTTGGTTGGCCGGTTCGGGCCACCCGGTCCGGTGGGATGGCGGTTCGGGCTCGGGCCCTTCAAAAGGTGAACCGGGCCGGCCGGTTCGGTCCCGGGTCGGGCCATTTTTTTTTTTTAAGTTTTTGGGTTGGGCTGGGTATTTTGGGCCATTTGAGGTGGTTAGGGTTGGTTTAGGGGTGAGGGGGAGGGTTGGGGGTTAACTAGGAAAAGCCAAAAAAAAAAAATTAGAACCGAGGCCCGGCCCGGCCCGGACCCGGGGGTTACCTGGGTCATTTCTGGGCCTCCCCTCCATGAACCGAGACCCTGCCGGGCCCAGGCCTGAACCGGGCCCGAACCGGAACCGGTCCATCCCTAGCTATCCATATATCAGTTGCCAAAGAAACTGTTTGTTTGTTGAACAAACTCTTAAGGGTCGATTTTTCTTTCAAATGGAGTTCCATAATATCCCTAGCGAGTGTTCTTCTTGATGAGACAACAAATTTAGGACAAGCAACACTACAGAAATGTCTAAACCCCACCCCTTGTACAAAACACAATGCCAATTCATCTAAAATTACCATCTTAACTAATACCGTTCTACATGCCTCTTGACTAAATCCAATGGCTACAAGTTGACCACTAACACTATCATTTATATTAACACGGGTAAGATTTTTTTGGGATTCCCTTTCAAGATGGTTCTTAAACTCTTGACATTTTTCATTATGAGTTTTCAGAGTACTAGTTCCACACTTTGCCGACCCACACTGATATTCTTTTGAGCAGTAGTTACATCTACACTTATCTAGTGCTGGACCAAACATCGTGAAGTGCTCCCATACCTTTGATCTTGGCGCTACTTCTTTTTTTTTTTGCTTTTGTTTTGGACCTTTAGAAGGCAAAGCACCAACATTTAAGGCTGATGGTTGCTTCCTCTTTTGTGCAACAGAAGTGCCCCCTCCTTTGGTTGTTCAATTCTGAGGTCAAAATCAACTATGTTAGCATTCTCTTCACAAGAGGAGGAATCTGTCATCTACATAATACAAAATGTAAACAAAATGTAACTAATATCGTAGTAAACAAAATGTAACTAAAAATAACATATAGTTTACATACTGATTTTGTACTTTGGACAGATTGTCAGATTATAGGCTGATGAACAACAATAATGAATCTAAAAAAAAAACCTTTACTAATACACTTAAAGCTTGAGATTTTGAAATTTGCAAATTCATTATTGAACAACAACATAGCAGGTTGTTGAGACAGTTCATAATTTTTAATTTTATATCAAACATGTTATTTTTTTCCAGGGTCTTTGTAACAGAGTTGATATCCGATAGTCAGTCCTCTAAAGCACAAATTAACAAATCAGCTGCATACAACTTGATGATATTTAATTATTTAAAAATTAACACCACACTTACATGCTAAGAACAGATTGATATATTATGAACCTTGAATCTTGAAAGGAGACTGGTTGCTGTAATGTTTACTCTATGAAGTCTGAACAATTGACGTGCACTTTGTCACGGTGCGTCAAAATAAATTCACTACTAAGGACTAATACGTAGTATAACATAGTAGAGTTCATATCCACAAGGAAAGGAATACTTCTTTTTTATGAACTAGTCATTAAAAGGGGGTTTCGGGGTTGAATGATTTAATTTAATAAGAAACTAAGATGAACGACTCTTATGAGATTTAATTCAAAGATAAAAAGGACTTGACATTGCTACTTTCCACTTGTTGATATATTTTAGTCGATCATTGTTATATCTATAACTTATTCCCTCTGGAATACTCAATCGAGGAATATATCCAATTCATCGAGAGTAGTTATTAACAACGACCGTTCATTAATAACCCTTACTATTAGTCAAGTATAGAACACCGCCATATACCGACTTGATAGTAGCATTTAATCTCTTAACTCCTTGATGAAATCAATTGAGATTGATAACCTCAATACAACGGTTTCAGTTTAACCAACAAAATCAATCCATCTTAAGTTTATTAACCACGACCGTGCATTAATAAACTGAAGTTATTTACTTGTGAAACCATCAACGATTAACCATTGGTGCGTCGATCGTTTCTAGTAATAATATATATATGAAACAAAACTAGTTGATCCTTTAAGTAATGTTCAAAATATTAATATGAAATATGAATAGGACTTAATTAACATTCAAGGAAAAATATTAAAGATGATAAATCCTACTATAACTAATGTCAAGATGTTAACTAATTGTCATCTTAGCAACACTTCCCAACATTAATATATAGAGGAAGAAAATAAATACTACTATAACTAATGTCGAGATGTTAACTAATTGTCATCTTAGCAACACTCCCAAACATTAATATATAGATAGATTAAGGGAAGAATTAATATTCAAGGAAAGAAGTTAAGAAAATAACTCACAACTTTAATAATCAACAAGCTTCAAGAGCAACACCAAGAAATGGAAGTTTAGCTCCTCATTTGGAGACTAAACATAGCTAGAAAAATATAAAGAAATGTTATTCTAAACTGAGCTTAAGAGTATGGAAGAAGGGATCATTCTTTGTGAAGAAAAAGTGTGCTATTTGTAGGTGTTTTCAACACCTTGGGCCGGGTACCCAACTGGGTCAAGTGCCCACCCGACCGGGTGCATGTCAAAATCAGATAATCTTTCACGTTCTTGTGTTTCAGCACGTTAAAATGCCCCGGGTCAAGTCAAACCCGACCGGGTCTGTGTAGTTTCCAGCCACCTTCGTATGTTAAATCGTACCCGACC